AAATTTTAGATGATAGACAGCGGTTATTTATACTTTTATCATGAAGGTTAGAAATTTATTTTTCTTAGAAAATTAATTACTTTGATTTTGAGCAATTTCTAAAAAAATTATATGGATTACCAAGTTCACTTATTTAATATGTTTTTAATATAAAATTTATAAATACAATTAATTAATAACAAAAACTCCTAATAAAAAATATAATATATAAGGGCATAAAAAAATAGTACATTTCAATGAAAATCCAACGGTAAGACATTAACTTTTTTTTTCCAAAGACATCACGGTAAGACATTAACTGGAATTTCTAAATGATATTTTATTTGTATAGCTGTCATTGTAAAATTTCATTGACTATTTCAACAGAAATCAAATTACATTATTTATTCTTGTGTAAATTTAATTATTTCAATTATCATTATTTATTACGTGAATTTTTGTTAAAAAAAAATCGGGTCATATTTCAACAATTGGAAAAAATGTCACTGAAATTATAAAAGTTTCAATGGAAGTTCTATTTGAAATCTACCTGCAGTGGTGTATACAAAATAATTTCATACTTGAGGCATTATTTAGTTAATAGAAAAAGTATACCATTAAAATAACATAATGTCATTATAATTTATAAATCATATTTCATAATTTGTCATCTTTCTCATCTGTAATACATGTTTAGCACATCAATACAGTTACAATTAAAAAACACATAACTTTTCTAATTTCAACGTAAGCAAATCAATGAAAAATAATATATTTTTAAAAATTTTATGAACAAAAGTTGACTCGACAATATTATTAATAAAATTATGAATTGTAAATCTTTATTTATAATATTATTTAAAAATCATAATTAAATATAAATAATATAGGATATACAAATATTTGATATATAATGAGACAAATGATTGAAAAAATTCTATACTTTATATTATGTCTTTTATGACAAATCTACAGTTAAGAACATGTGAAAGAACAAGATAGAGTTTTAAAAGAATATTAAATATAAGAAATAATATGAATAATAACTAAGTTGTGACACGTACTAATAAATATAAAACAAACTAATAAACAAAAATAATATAATTAATGTACCTAAACATAAACCTTCTAAAAAATATACTTATCGATGTAATTGAACTGAGTAGTTAAACGCTTGTTAGTTTTTTGCTCTTATTAATTTTATGTGTAAATTTGAGGTGATAGACAATAGTTATTTGTACATTTATCCATGTAGATTAGAAAAAAAAAAAATCTTTATTATTCTAATTTTAAATAACTTTTTTATTTACTATATTAGTTTTTTTAATATAATATATAAGTATCATGTTGAACATATAAAACAAGAAATATTTTAATTATATAACATTTAATATGTAAGAAATGTAACTCAATTGGAAAATTAATATGTAATTTTGAGATAATATAATGAGTGATTTCTGAAAAAAAAAAAAATATAGGAACTAAAAAGTTCACGTGTTTAATATATTTTTAATAGAAAAATTGTAAACACAACTACTCAATAAATACTACATAAAAAATAATGTTTGAGAGGACTACAAAAAATTGCTATACTGCAATGAAAACCTAAAAGGTTCCAATAGAGTTCAAATTAAATTACATGAACTTTAGTGGATTTAATGATTTCAATTACCTGAATTTCTATTGGAATTTTTTTGGAACATATTTCAATCGTTGAAAAAATACTACATAAAAAATAATGTTTGAGAGGACTACAAAAAATTGCTATAATGCAATGAAAAACTCAACGGTAAGGTATTCTACTGAAAATTCCAACGAATATATTGCTTTCATTGGAAAATTTCATTGGCTATTCTAATAGAGTTCAAATTAAATTACATGAACTAATTTAGTGGATTTAAAGATTTCAATTACCTGAATTTCTATTGGAATTTTTTTTGGAGCATATTTCAATCAAAAAATTGTCACTGGTATTGTGCAAATTTTCAATAGAAGTTCCATTGGAAAGATAATTGCAGTGATATATCCAAAATAATTTCATATTGGAAGCATTATTTAGTTGATAGAAAAAAATATACCATCAAAATAACATGTCATTGCAATTTATAAATTATACTTTACATAATCTATCACCTTTCTCATTTGTAATACATTTAATATATCTATGCAATCACAATTAGGTAAAATATATTTAAGAAAACAAAAGTCAAGATTTTTCTTAAATCAACATAAGAAAATCGTTATATTTGTTGTAATTTTTGTTGTAATTTTCTTATTTTCTTGTAGTAAAGCTAGGACTCCAATTTTCTTATTTTCTTGTAGTAAAGCTAGGACTCCAAATCTATAACAAAATTCATTATATATAATATTGTGTGCAGCTATTATTATGAAAATTTTTGATACGATAGAAAATATAACACATTCAATGTAATTGGTGTTCAATTTATGATAAGAAGTAATTTTTTTTCAAAACAAACAAGATACTTTGAAAGGTCCTTAATTATTTTATTAGTATTATAATAACTAAATAAGGGGTAAGAATGATGATAAAACTTATAGCTCTCATTAGATCCAAAAATAAAAATGCTGATAAAATTATTTAATGTACTGTATCAATTGGAGCTGGCTAATGAGAAATATAAAACATACTTAAGATACACATATATTTTAACTAGAACTTTTAAGTACATAATATATATATATATATATATATACATATATATATATATATAATGTTTTCATTTAAATAACGTTTTATTTGCTATTAGTTTTTTTAATATAATATATTAATGCCATATTTTAAATATATACAATAATACTTTTCATTATGTAATATGTAAGTGCAAGAAATGTAACTCAATAGATAAATCAATAAGTAATTTTGCAATAAAGTAACGAGCAATTTGTAAAAAAATTATATGGATTACCAAGTTCACTTGTTTAATATATTTTTAATATAAAAATTATAAATACAATTAATTAATAACAAAAACTCTTAATAATTTATTACTTTCTATCATTAAATTTTTTAATTTTGAAATACTTCATATTTTATATTTGTTACCTTTTTATATGTAGGTAAACTTCTAACTGTTCTCACGTTTTGGCTAGAGCGCCCAAATCCGATATATGTTTGACACGAGTTTGTCGTAATGCTAAAACTATGGTAAATGCACCTTAGGGTATAAACGAAGCGAAACAAAGTGAAGTCATAGATAAAAGGAAAGACTAGGTTAGAGAAAGGAAATGGAATAACGTTAACTATGTTCAATTACTGCTGGAAAAGGAACATTATAATGGTAGTACCATATATGTATTCAATGATTATGAAAATGATTTAGTTAATTCATATTTAATCAAACATTGAAAAAAATTCTAAACTTTTTAATCTAATAATTCGTATAAAAAGTACAGTTTTATCAAATATATTAAATTACATTTAATCTTATGTGATTATATTAATTGTAGACTAAAAATACGATAATTTGATAACATCATTATATAAAACACATACAAAAAATAACGTAATACGTATAAATGTGCTTTAATTGCTTAGCAAATAAAATATTATTTGTCTGTATAATAGTAATGCAATGAGAAAAAGAAAACATGCTATTTTTCTTAGAAAAGTATGAATATCAATATTTACAAACAAAAAGTCTTTTAAAATTACTATATTTTTGCTGCGCGTTTAAATATATGGACTCTGTAAGAAATTGGTTCTCATAAATAATGATCATATATTATTTATTTTCAATTTTAAATAATTAAAAACTCCAAAAATCTGTATACATGATGTATATTTTAATCAGGACTCCATAATAATGAACTTTACAGATGACTAAAAGTATCGTCCTATAATGGAATTCTAATTCTTCTGCTGTCAAATATTTTAACAAATGATATATTTCTCAATATTTTCTCATTGTTTTGTTTATTTTGTTTTATCATTGCAAAAAATAGATTATATTGTTCGTCTACATTCTAAATAAATAATACTGAAAATGAAATGTAGGAGTATCAAAACAGTTTTGAATGTTAGAATGAAATTGTCACTTTTTATAGAAATATTTATAATCTCATTGGTGTATTGTGCTTGAACATATGTGCAATTACTTTAGAGGTACTTTCAAGTAATGTATGATGATTTCAAAAAATAATTTAGCATCTCGGGAGAAGTACATGTAACCAAGATTTCGGAAAGTCAACTTTTATTTGGAGATAAAATTCATTACCACCTCGCGGTGCGATGCATCAATGGAGTAGACACCAATATATCTAGAGACAGAGGAATGTAGTAGCTTATATAGTGATAAAAAATATCAGCAATTTTAGTGGCACCGTTAGTTATTTCATAGAGATATTTATCCTTTGTTAGTAGAAGTACCTTGTTATAAAAGATCATACGATAGTGAAGTTGGGTCAGAATGTTTCTTAAGTGTTTGAATAAAATTAGCGTTGTACCAAATTAATTAAGAGAAATTTTGCAATAGTATTGATGTATCGGACTCTAACGACTATAAATGTTCTTATGAGAACGTCAAAACCAAAATGAAAGAAAATCTTTGTGTTTTTTTATTAGGGATTTATTTTTTTATGTATATTTTTGTTGACGGTTGTAATACGTTATTTCACTCTTTTTATATGAAGACATCATTACGTTAATTATAAATAAAAAAAATTACATATGAGTTCTTTTTTTCTATGTTTTACTTCATTTCTACAATGATATGTTTAATAAACAAATTAATTTATTTTGCAAACTTACTCCGCGAAAATCATTCGACATCACGTGCATCGCACGTGCACTTTACTAGTATAATAAAATGAAGAAAAAAAGTATACCATTTCATATAATAAACAAAAGGCAACTTCATATTTATATACAACTGCAAGAAACCATTACACTTTAGAAGCAGCATTTGTGAGCAAAGACACTATATACACTGTCAAAATTTCTTTAAACTCAAACCACCTTCCTTTTTTTTTTTTTTTTTTCTGTACAATATGCAAGCAGCTTTTCAGAAGAGGTACTGTTGTAAACATTTTTTCAAGTTCTGGAAAGTAATTGGCTTCGTCACGAACGAGTCCATCCCGTTCGCGTAACATTCGTCCGCACTTTCCGACATTGCATTTGCCGTCATCTGCAGAACATAAACCAATTTTTAGCACCATTTTTTTCCGCAAGAAAGTTCATCGATATTTTTTGTTTGATAAGAAGCTTGTTTAACTTACCGCTACAATAGGAATCCTCTTTCTCGTTTTTCCTACTCGTGAATTCGAGCAAGAATTTCGACAAGGCAACTGAATATCGACTCCGGCTTTTAACGCCTCGTCCCAATTACCGGTTTCCTCATATGATCTGATCAGTTTCGTAGCTTGAAGACCGTCCATAACCGGCATGCATATATCCTGCATATATTGTTCGTTTTTTTCATTCGTAATTTACCCAAGAAACTTTTTTTTTTTTTTTCTTTAAAAAAAGTTACTTGAAATCATACCATTAGAATGAGATGATAATCGTGGGATTGAACCATGCGAAGGGCCTCTAATCCATTATGCACGACGTCAATCTCATGCCCCAATTGCTTCATCATCGATTTCGCCACCATCACATTAATCTTATTATCCTCGACGAGAAGAATTTTCGGCCTCGAGCAAACTCCCAAGATATCGAGACTATTGCTAGACGAGCTGCACTCGGAACTCTCGTCATCCAGACACGGAGCCACACGAGCCTCCGGAGTACAAGAATAGGGGCGAAAATGCCCATCAATTTTCTCACTTTCCGAAGTTACCGTGCTAGTAGGAGGTAATAACGAGTCCTCCTCCAACAATAATAGCCCGTTGCATTTGTTGAGGGTAAAATTATTCGGGCCGAGCTTCTTCTGGATCCTTCCGGAAGCTAGGGAGGAGAACAAGGAGCTGAGGGTGCGCGGAGGGAAAAGGAACACGCCCGAGAGTTCGTGTTCAGAATCGGAAAGCTCGTCTGGGTCGTCGGAGTTCGTTTCGGATTCTGACGAGACCTTGTAAGGGAGCACGAAAGTGAAAGTCGAGCCCTGGTTTTCCACGCTGGATACGGTGAGTTGGCCTCCCATTAGCTCGACCTGTTTTCATGAAATAAAGCAAATTTTCTTGATGGGTGATTAAAAGACGTCTTTTTTTTTCGAACATAACTTAGGACTGCAAACGAATCGAGCGGTTCGCGAGCGCTCGAGTCAAAGTTCGGCTAGAGCTCGAGTTTGACCGAACCCAAACCGAGCTCGAGCATGTTACCAAGTCGATCTCGAACATAGGTTTTGGAAGAGCGGCTCGAGATATGTGGTGAATTATAAAATACCTCTTATATATAAATATTACAATATTTTATATATGTACTTAATAATAATTTTACTTGAAATTTGAGTCAAAACTCGAGCCGAACTAGAGCAATATTTCGAGCATCTTGATTTCAATCCATCTCGAGCCGAGCTCGAGCGATTGTCTTCTTTTGTCGAGTCGATCTCGAGCGTCATAAATCAAGCTCGAGCTCGAGCAGGTAAAAGAAAAAAAAAAAAAAATCTTGCTCGATAAGGCCAATGTTCGACTCGGTTCGGCTCGGTTGCAGCCAACGAAAAATTACCAGTTGTTTACAGATTGCGAGGCCGAGTCCCGTCCCACCGTATTTTCGAACAGTGTCTGCACCAACTTGCATGTATTTCTTGAAAAGGGTTGGTATTGCATTTTCTATTACAAAAAGTTCAAAAGGGGAAGTAAACTGTGGTAGTTTTCTGTTACAAGAAGTTCAAAAAGGATAATAATTTTTCATCAATTACAAATATCCCTGAAAGTGTATAATTTTAAAACAACACATTTGACTTCAGTATTTACCTAACAAATACCCCATCTTGTGTATAATTTTCACTCAGAGAACACTTAAAAAAAATAATATGAACTTTGAGTAAAGTATACCGGGTATTCCAATGCCCGTATCGTAAACATCACAACGTATCCACACGACTCGTTCCTCATTTATCGTGTCCTTTTCATCTTCTTTCTCAGTAGACCCATTGTTTAGATTTTGGTTTTCACACGTCCCGATTTCATGCTGATCAGACATTGACGAGTCTTTCATCGTATTAGATATTGTCGATGGCTCGTGGATCACATAGAGGTTTATTCCGACCTTTCCTTCATGAGTAAACTTGATGGCATTGCTGTATTAAAAAACATCGGCATATACTATAATGAATCTATTAAATAACTTGCATTTGTTATTATATGTATATAGAGTGCGAAACTTTACGATCTTTATAATTAATTACCTGACCAGGTTTGTGAGAATCTGTCGAATCCTTAGGACATCTCCAATAACCTAAAATAAAATATATAAAACACACACACACACACACACATCGTTGTAATTGCAATGCGAACTTAGCTTCGAATAAGAACATACATAAAATGAAGATTTTCTTGTTCATTTTTCTTTTTTCATTTTTTTACCTCCACAGGAACATCGTCCGATACATGACCTTCTAAGGTTAGTAATTTCTGTAATGAAGCTGCTGCTGTCTGAAGAACATGTTTCACCACTTCTCTTGGTCTAAATTTGGTAGCTTCCAATTTCATAACTCCTAAAAAAAAGTTAACCTCACTTCAAATTTTCATAAATTCCCACTAAAATCCTCATATAGCAAAACTAAAGCGAGTCGCAAAACAAAACAAAACAAAACAATTCAGAGCATAAATGAGCTTATATTAAGTTGAACTTCCAAATGAATAATAATAATAATAATAATAACATAAAGAACGGAAATAAATTATCACACCTGATTCGACTTTTGAAAGGTCAAGAATGTCGTTAATCAGTTGAAGGACTAAATCACCAGAAGACAACATCACTTTCAGAAACTGCTTTTGTTCTTTATCGAGATTAGTGGTTGAAAGAATCTCGGCCATGCTTACAACTCCCGATAGAGGAGACCTTATCTCATGAGACATTGTTGCGAGCATTTTTTTCGCTCTCATTGATTCCTCTGTAAGAAAATAAAT